ATGGCTCCCTATGGGTTTTTCTTCAATATTGATTTTAATTATTTTAGTTATTATTTTTGTTTCTGTCTTCCCATAATAACCTTTAAGACGATTACCTTTTTTTATTTATCACAATACTGCTAGTTGATCTCGTTGTAAATTTACAATAAATTTGCATTTATTTCTTTGATTTCGTGCTTCAGTTTATGAATTTGCATTTAATTATTAGATATTCCATCATTGGAATTATTATTTTTTTCTTTTTCTGGCATAGCCCATATTCTTAATGTTTAATTGGGTCAATAGATTTTCTTGATGAATGTCGCTTAGAATTGGAAAATGAGATGGGCTGTCCTTGATTTTCAAGTACTTTGCCTGAGCCATTCGATCCATCAATTCTTTTTTCCTAAGGCTGTGTATCACGAGCAAGTTTGGCTATTGATTTTGATTTTGACTTTTTTTTGGGTCAAAAGTAGGAAGACCCTATTGGCCAAGTTTGGCTATTGATTTAGTTCCTCAGATTTTCTCTTACGGCACAGAAAAAATTACACAAACATTAAAGTAAGTTGCAATCAAACATACCAACAATTACATTTGAGCAAGTGCACATGCTTAATAATAGAGGGGAAAAAAAAAATTAAATTAGTCACTAAATAATAGAACCACAACACATCTGAGTATCAACAAATTTTCTAGAAATTCTTCTCGTCTCTTGTAAATTGTAATGCATGAGAGAACTTCTCTGAATATCATTGGGATTATTAAAGACTAAACCTAATGCAAAGAGTAAGAAGAAATATAACAAGTAATCTTCTTATTTTCTTACAAAAGAAAAGTTGGTACATCTACCCAATATGGAGGTTGCATGGTCTTCTCCATAAGAGCCTTAGCATCTGGGGTGTAAGGTTGTGAAAAGCTTTGACGTTCAACATCATAAACACCAAAATCACGACGCAAAGGCTTTTTGTCATAACCGCCTTCTATACGTTCATAATCATGGTTGAAGTATATGCAATTCGATCGACATCCTGAAAAATTCGAAGCCACTACAGATATTGAAAAATTATCACCCAAAAAGAGAGCAACATCTCCTAAGGTGTTTTTCTCAACCCACTCATACTCGTCAAAATTCAATTTGAATATTCCAACTTTCTTCGTCACACGACATCCATCTTTAAATGTAATATACCTTAGAACCATCAATAATTCTTTATCATTTAAAACCACGAGATATGTCTTCTGCACCTCATCAGATTCGATGCCCTGCGCAACTAATTGTTTATTGGAGATACACTGACTAGTAATATCAAAAGAAAAAAGTGTACCCCCTTCTTTAACAACATAAAACTTATCTTCAATATGAACAACATCTTGAATAAAGGATAGGCTTTCATCAACGTAAGTCCATGTTGTGTCTTTATTGAGTCTGATGAAAGCCAATTTACCACTTCCCTCATACATAACAACAACAATGCAATCGTTGGGATTTAATATTGGATCTGCTGATATTGTAGCCTTGATGACAAAGGCAGCAATCACTTGTTCATGCAAAAAATTACCATAATTACGGTCTAGCGGAGGAAGATTGATGATGGAATCTTCTCTCTTTTTCTTCCCTTTAACCCTATAAAATGGATTTATTAGGGTTACTACCAAATTCATGTTCATAGCTATTAACCATCCTTTTGCGAAACCACAAAATCGCTTCTTTGGCAATTTGAATTGCACATCAAGGACATTGTCAGTCATGGGATTGTATAAATTCCATGTACCTTTTTTTGCAGTATGAATCAAGAGCATTGGAGGATGATGACAATCTGAGAAGATGGAAGAAAAAAAATAAATTAGAGAGACCATAGTTATGTAAAAACATATATAAATTACAGATACAATATTAATAAAACAGTTTTTATGCACGAAACAAACCCAAAAAAAGTAAAAAAGAAAGAAAGAAAAAAGACCCGTTATCTCTATTCATGTCATGAAGAATTAAATATACGTTTAAGTAAATAATAGTATGAGATATGGAGATAACATGGCATGTCATGTCATGCATCTAAGTGAACTATGCAAAATAAAGATCAAGTTTGAACAGTTGGCCTAAAAAAGATGTACATAATACCAATTTGATGTATGCATAGTTAAGATATCATAATACCAAATACTGACATTAACAGAACAGTAATTTGATTTTAAGAAAACATACCTGAAGCCATACGTTCAAACACTTAAGAAGAAGATTTTGTTGTTTTGGTGAGAACCCAGAAGAAGAAGATTGAAGATCGTATGTAGGTGTTTTCTTCACACTCACTCAGAATTTGGCTTATAGCATACTCTCACAGACAAATAATATGACTCCCTAAAAGTCTTATTTATAATGCATATGGCCTAGGGTTACATGGGTAGAAAATATGATCAAAATAAAAAAAATCCTAAACCAAGTAGGAATTGAAATAGGAATCTAAAACCACGATAATGCATAAGACCTGGGGTTACACAGGTAGAAAATATGATTAAAATAAAAAAAATCCTAAATCAAGTAGGAAATGAAATAGGAATCTAAAACCACGAAGGAAACTAAACAGGAAACAAATCTTTTTCCGTTGAATTGTAATTTCACAACGTTAAGCATACTCCTAAGATGAATATTCGTTAAAAAATTGTAACATGTCCCAAGCATAGTTAAACCAATTCTTTCATCGAACTAAGGGCGTTGAACACTTCTTCAATTTTGTTTTCTTTTTTAAAACAAATTTGGTAACGAAAAATTGTAGCGTTACTTCGCATGCACAGTTTTGATATAGCTATTATGCACTTATCTTACCATTAGAAGTTTCCCTTCTTTTTTCTGGATATTCATGATGTTTCTTTGGGTCAATAGATTTTCCTGGTTTCAAAGTACGACAAAAAAAAAAACAGTACTTCGCCTGAGCCATTTGACCCATCAAGGTGGCCGGGCTTGGCTTATAGTTTCTGTACATGGACCACATGATTTCCAAACCTGTGAATAGACATTGGGTCGGACCAGATTTGACCCAAGGGCCATTTTCAGCATTATGAGCTAAACGTTTGATATTGCTTGATTTTAAATTCGAGCCCGAATCATAAAGCTAGAGTGCTGCTAAATGAACTTTAAAATTAATTTTTTTTCTTTAGGCTAATTATTGGGAGGGGGAGGGGGGATATTAGTTAAATACAAATTTATAAATAAACCCAATCCTAGACATGTATTTATAAAAAAAATCCAAATACTATTTAAACATAGAAACACACCCAAAATCAACTCCAAAATCAACAATTGTATATTTTTTGGGTGTGTTTATAAATGGGTTTTGAGTGTGTGTAATGATGGGTTTTGGGTGTGTTTATAAAGTGTTTTGGGTGTTGGGTTTTTTTATAATTTCAGCCCCCATTTTGGGTGTTTTAGTGAAACTCCCTTAGTTAAATTGGTTCTTTACAAATTTTTGCCAATATCAAGCGTCAAACCTAGGTGCCAATGTG